TGGATATACACTACCACTTGTTGGAATAAATTATGTTGCTTGAGTATGAAAGCCATCCTGCCCCCGCAACGTAAATTACAACGACCTAAACAGTGGGGCAGATAGAGCTATTTGGCAGGAGAGCATCTCCAGATGACATAGCTACTGCCTCTTGCGGAGGTGGTTTTATTATGCTGACCAGAGCACGCTCTCCTCTCCCATCAGCACACAGCGTCTTCGCCAGAAGTGCTCCATCAATGCAGCTGTAGCATTTCTAGTGCAGACTAGCTCTCAGATGCATGCAAGCGATTACCTGGGCAGTCACTTAAGGGAATTTTGTGACTGTCTTACAGCGCTGTCTCCTTCAGACAGATCTTAATTTCACTCCACATAGTCATAAGTGGTATCAGTTCCATCTCTCCTTCAGCTATATCTTCAGCTCACTTGTCCCAGAAAAAGGTCCCATCACCAGTTTTTGTTTTTCCACTGCACCGTTCATCTGAACTCACTAATAAACTCTTGAGCCTTTTTCCTTATCTTCCCAGCCATGTGCCATCATTAGCACGTTTCCAATTTTCTCTCCTACTACCTACCATTGCTCTTTTAGTCATATATATCTGTCTTATTGCAGCAGGGATGCTGTTCTTTAAAGGTAACTGAATTCTACATTCCCTTATACTTTACGGGCAAAATAATCCTCCCTGATTATCTGCATTATAGATCTCTTCTGCATAGTCTGTTATGTTTTCTTGACATCAATGGAAGTTCTATACTCGGGGTAAGGCACTTAGCCTGCAAAGACTTCTGCTCATTTCAAACTTTACTTACTGAGAGCCATCCTACTGATATCAATCAATGTCCAGGCTGCAAAGAAGAGAACCACAGCAGAAATTGGACAGAAAAAGGTCTTCTTTATTTACATACAGATGCAGTCACTGGAACCATGTGAAAGTGATTACATTTTTTTTTTCTGTGATATTTCAAGCAAAAAGTTCTCTGCACTTTGTTTTTTGGGCCATTTGTGATCCAGAAATTTAACTTTCAAGACATTTTTTCAACAATGTCACATTTTTTCATTCCTCAGAACAGGATAATTCTGGGTGAATAGTCTTCTTTTCACTCTGATTTTGAAATTGAGAATGGACATTTCATGTATTTTCTCCAAAAAGGTGTACCAATTTTGAATATTTGAAACAAAAAGCAAAACCCTCCATTTTCCAGGCTTTTTTGCACTTCAAAATGTTCATATTTCTTTAACTACTCTCCCCCTACCCTGCCTCAATTTCCCAGTGACAAAACATAAGCACAGAGTATTCTAGTGTGTATTTTAGGGCACTGTGGAAAGCACTGTGGTATTTTGGCATAATTAGCATCACAACCCTGTGTCAGAATTACAGTGATTTCTCTGAAAGTGCCATTCCATGTGTGATCTCAGATGTCATTGCACACTTCCCAGGCCCCATCTCCTGACACTACTGATTCATCTGTGAAATGCCTAGAGCAGTGGTTCCCAACCTTTTTTATACATGGACCAGCAAACCCATTCACAAACTTTTGGTGGACTGGCAACATTTTATTTCATAGAATCATAGAGCTGGAAGAGACCTCAGGAGGTCACCAAGTCCTGCCCCCTGCCTAAGGCAGGACCAACCCCAACTAAATCAACCCAGACAGGGCTTTGTCAAGCCGAGACTTAAAAACCTCTAGGGATGGAGATTCCACCACCTCCCTAGATAACTCATTCCAGTGCTTCACCACCCTCCTAGTGAAATAGTTTTTCTTAATATCCAATCTAGACCTCTCCCACTGTAACTTGAGACTATTGCTCCTTGTTGTGCTATCTGTTACTACTGTGAACAGCCTTTCTCCAGCCTCTTTGGAACCTCCTTTCAGGAAGTAGAAGGCTGCTATCAAATCCCACCCCCCTCTTCTCTTCTGAAGACTAAACAAACCCAAATCCCTCAGTCTCTCCTGATAGGTCATGCTCTCCAGCCCCCTAATCATTTTGGTCGCCCTCCACTGGATCCTCTCCAATGCGTCCACATCCTTTCTATAGGGAGGGGGGGGCCCAGAACTGGACACAATATTCCAAATGTGGCCTCACCAAAGCCAAATAAAGGGGACTAATCACTTCTCTGGATCTGCTGACAATGCTCCTCCTAATGCACCCTAATATGCCATTAGCCTTCTTGGCTACAAGGGCACACAGTTGACTCATATCAAGCTTCTCATCCACTGTAATCCCAGGTCCTTTTCTGCTGAACTGCTACTTAGCCATTTGGTTCCCCAGACTTAGCCATTTGGTCCCCATATGCAAAAAATGAATATGCAAATAGACAAATAAAATATTACCAGTCTGCTAAATATGTACCCAGGCCCTGAACCCAGAGCCACCGTGAACAGTTGGCTTCAGCTGCCACAGCCACCCTCCATGTTGCAGCTGCTGGAGCTTAAGCTGGCTGCTGTGAGGTGGCTCAGGGGCCTAGAGTGACCTCCAGAGCCTCAGCAAACAGCTGGCTTCAGCTCCAGCAGCTGCCAGCCACATACCTGGGGTATGTCTACACTCATGGCTTCTTGCATGAGAAATATGTAAATGAGGCTGTGTGGAATATAAGCCTCATTTGCATACCTAATGAGCTGCCATTTTTGAAGAAGAGGCTCTTGCGCCAGAAGGAGCTGTCTACTCTTCCCTCTTGCGCAATGCTGTTATGCCAGTTATTTTCAGGAATAATGGCATTGCGCAAGAGGGTTTTCTTGCGCAAGAAGGGCAGTATAGATGGCTCCTTCTGCCGCAAGAGCCTCTTCTGCAAAAATGGTGGCTCATGAGGTATGCAAGTAAGGCTCGGCGATATTCCACGCTTAGCCTCATTTGCATATTTATCACGCAAGAAGCCGTGAATGTAAACATACCCCAGCTATGTGGCTGGCAGCTGGCTTCAGCTCCAGCTCCAGCAGCTGTTTGCTCAGACTCTGGGGGCCACCTTAGGCCCCTGAGCCACCTTACAGCAGCCAGCTTAAGCTCTGGGAGCTGCACCGTGGCAGGTGCCTGTGGCAGCTGAAGCCAACTGTTCACAGTGGCTCTGGGGGGCAGGGCTTAGCCTTATTTGCATATCTCTCATGCAAGAAGCTGTGAGTATAGACATAGCCCCAAGGTCTGTCCCAGTCCTGCAGCAGCCAGCATGAGCGTGGCCTGGCAATGTGCCACAGCCCGGCACCAGTCCACGGACCAATGATTGGGAATGGCTGGCCTAGAGGAGAAAGACAGACGGTTCTTCTCTAAGGTGTGAGTGCAGTAAGGCAGACGATGCTTCGTAAAATGCAGGGGCACTGGGCAGGGAATCAGCAAAACCCAAGTGGGGCTTTAACTGCTCAGTAAAACTGGGACATGTGCAAAGAGAATTAAAAGTCAGGAGGCTGCAGGTCCATTCTTACCGGGCTCTAGTAAAACAAGTCACCAGAATCAAGGGGGGTGGGAAGTACAGGCAGTCCCCGACTTACACGGATCCGACTTATGTCGGATCCGCAATTACGAACGCGGCTTTTCTCACCCCGGAGGACACGGACTGCTTGTCCCGCCGCCCGTGTACTCCGGGGTGAGAAAAGCTGCTCCGCATCTCCCTGGTCTGCAGACCAGGAAGACGCGGAGCAAAACCGCGGAGGGGCTCCGGCAGCGGGGGAGCCCCGCTGTGGCGTCGCTGGTCTCGC